ATCATCTGTCAGAAGGAGATTTCTCTTTACTTCCTGTCCCACAGGCACAACAGGAAGTAAGAAGAAATCTCTTTTTAGCCAGCAGCTGTCACCAGTACAAGCATCCCAGTTGGAAGATTTCCAGTCTATACTTGTTCCAGGGACACTTGTTGGATTTTCCCTCCTTTCAGTCCTGGTGACAATGGTTACCCTGCCGGGTACACACACCGCTCACCGAGATCCGGCGCGCCCACCTGAATGGGAAGCTGTAATGATAAAATGATGTAGACTGCCATTGCTGACCCCCTCCTAAAAATGTTGACAGCCAAGCAAGTGGCAATTTTAGAAGGAGAAGTCAGCCATGGTATGTTCTATTCTGTCACCACAGTTTTCCTTTAAAATAACGCCAATAAAGAGACCCTGTCATCATACCATTCACCCCAACATCAATCATCCCAGAAAATGTGCATTTTGTGTATTTCAATAAAGTTATTTGCCTTTAGCCCTGACACTGCTGCCGGGCACTACAATCTTGGATGTAATCTCAGCAGCCCCAGCACACTCAGAGCTGTCAGTCAAGTGACACTCTAGAGCAGGGGCAGGCATTCTCAGCACTCCAGCTGTGATGAAACTACAAATACCACCATGGCTTTACCTCTGGGAGTCATGTCTGGGGCAGTCAGAGTCTTGCAATGCCTCGTGGGACTTGTATTTCCACAACAGCTGACGTGCCAAGGTTGTCTACCCCCGTTTTATTGTATACCTCTTCCCTCCTCCCACAACACCTACATATGTGGGGAGGGGCAGAGGAGCTGGGCCAGCACATCCATTAAAAAGACAGTCACAGAAGTGGGCTATGACCCACCAGTCATTTTTTCTAGTTCAGAGGCGCATTGCAAGCGAATAAGAAAAGAGTTTAGGGGAAGGAAAACATCGTCAGTAAATGCTTACCATACCTGATTTGTCTTTTACCTACAATTTCTGTGAGTTGCTGACAGGTTCTCTTTAAATATATGATACGAGTATGCCCATGTGTAAATCTCATTATGCATGCATAGGAATTAAAGGGAGGGTGACACTGTCATTCATACACACCGTCATACACACATATAAACACATTAGCATTGTTCCAATGTATACACACATAATTCATGGCTGTCCATCCAAGCCCCCTGCCTGCCTCCCTCCCCATAGCACCGAACTAGAACAATGGCACACGGTCTCCCCCCCCTCCTCTCCCGGCAAAGTGGTAGTGCCCGGGTTCCCCCCTAAACGGCTGTCAGTGGCCGGTACCCCCGCCCTGTCGGTGTGGCGCTCTCACCGATAGACTGCAGGATGTCTATACTCGCCGCTCTGTCGGTCCCCAGCATTTCCTGAGCTCTCTGAAACTCGACCACAGCTGCAGCCGCCATCTTGCCCTATGCCTGCACCCTGACACAGCTCTTCCGGGCCGGAAGCAGCGGCACCGGAAGTTCAACCCCCTCCCTCTACGCGTTAACCTGTTCCGGGGTAGCGTGGTAAGGCATGCCTGGAGTTGTAGTAACAGAGGGAAGGGAGGAGCCATGTAGTGAGTACAGAGAGACATGCATTGCTGCTGGGGGAAGGATTGTAGGGTGTTGTGGTTCCTCTACTATAAAAGCTGTTTATGTGTCACATGTCAGGAAGCTGGGAGTTGTGCTAACTTAGAATGGGACAATATGAGAATCTGGGGATGGTAAATAGCACATGGATACCATTTCATGAAAGGGAAAGAAGAATAATTTTAGCCCCAAAATTGTTTGCTAAATTCCATTACTTGGACACAGCCATGGTCCCACTTTCATGGCCAGATCCAGGCAGGGCAGCCCCTACCCCAACATTTGTTTTTTGTATTTTTTAGCATGCATATCTGCAGTCTTTATGCTGATCATGTTTATGTTATGATGTCAGAGCCATTGCCCTTTGCACCTGGGTAGGCGTGTCAATGCAGCACCAGGGGGGGTGTGTCCATGACACCCTGGGCTCTTAGGCATTGGTTTAATGATGGGGCGTCATACAACCTGAAGGAGGATCGTCAGAACTGGACTAAGTAGAGGGTCTATGGGGGGCAGCTGCATATTTTATTTTCATGAGTATTTTAGATTGTAAGTCCTCACGGGCAGGGCCCTCCTTACCATTTTGTCTTGACTTGTATTGTCACTTTAATGTCTTCCTTATATTGTAAAGCGCTGCGCAAACTGTTGGTGCCATATAAATTCTGTATAATAATATAATAATAATTTCCTGGTCATATCCATGGCAGTGCTGACAATTGGGTTTTAGTCCTCATACCCCTAGATGACAGGAACAAAAATGGTTAAACAGTATAAGCCCCTCCTACTTCCGAGTTCCCCAGTCTTTTTTGTTCCTGTCGCCCTAGGACAGGGTATTATGTTTCTAGTGAAAGTTCAGATCTAGATGTTGTACTGCCCCAGAGGAGTTCAGCCTCTCTCCCCTGGGAGGTCCTCAAGTTCGGCCCCGAGCAAGGGTGTCCCCTTGGGGAGCGCCATCGGATGGATGGGGGGGCGCTGGATGAGCTCTACAGTCCTCCCTGTTACATTTCCCTGCCGGACGAGGCATTGCTGGACACAGGACCTACATTGACGGGGATCCTCCGTTCGTCCCTTCTCCCTCTGGCCGGTTTGTGTGCGGCTCGGCGGCGGTGTGAGGGCAATGCAGTGTGGGCAGTGTCGGCTTCGGTAGCCTACTGCGCATGTGCGGGCGTCAGCGTGACGCGTGGTACTGACATCATGCGGGGCCGGTTTTTGGCGCAAAATTTTAAAAGGTTTTTGTTTCTTTTCTGATTTTAAGCCTTTTCAGTGCCCTCGCAGTCATTATGGACGTCGGTGGAAGTGGTCTCTCGCCCCACAGGTCCAGATCTAGGGAGTTGAGGTGAGAAGAAGTTTTTTCAGAAAAAAAAAAAAAGAGTGCATCTTGCTAAGGATATTTTGCTCCATTTTTAGCCCCGCGGAGATGGAATCATCTGCATCTTCGGGGAAGAAAACTGCTAAGTCACCCAGATGCTCCACCTGTGATACCAAAGCTATGGCAGGGAAAAGGCTGTGTGCGGACTGTCTTAAGGAAGCAGCAGGCACTTTAAAGTCTTCTGCGGACATCTTGGACTTAATTCAGCAGGCAGTGGCAAAGGGAGTAAGGCAAGCAGGCCGTTCCCGCCAACGGCCCAGAGCGGCGAGCTCGATTTGGGACTCCTCAGTGGACATGGAGGAGGAGAGGTCCCTGTCGGAGGGTGAATATTCCTCGTCTTCAGACCGGGAAGGCTCTCCTGCTGCCCCATCACTTGACCCCAAAAGGATGGATGCACTGATCGCCTTGGTGCGTAAAGCATTGGATATGCGGGAGCAGGAAGAGGTCTTGTCCCCCTCCAGCAGACACTTTACGGGTCAGAAAAAGCATAGACCCTGCTTCCCAGTGAGTAAAGTCACCAAAACCCTCATTAAAGAGGAATGGGATAAATCGGAGAGACGAATGGGGTCTAAGAGGAGGTTTGCACGCCTCTACCCCATCAATAGCACAGATTCCAACACTTGGGATACGGCCCCTAAAATTGACGTAGCGGTGGTCAGATTGGAGAAACGCACCGCCTTACCGGTCGACAACACAGGTTCTCTGAAAGATTCAATGGATCGGAAAATTGAGCACAGCTTGGTGAAGACCTATACTTCCTTGGGAATGGGCCTTCATCCAGCAGTGGCCTTATCCTCGGTATCTTGCACGTCCAAAATGTGGATAGAAGAGCTGGAAGAAAATATAAAGAGAGGAGCAAGCAGACACAGGCTCCTGGATAAGATGCAGGACATCAAGCTGGCAGCGGAATTCTCCACAGAGGCTTCTGACGACCTTATACATTGTTTTGCCAGAGGCATGGTATCCTCGGTGGTGGCACGCAGGGTGATTTGGCTCAGGTCATGGGGCGCTGATTCTTCCTCCAAGAATAGTCTATGTTCCCTATCTTTCCAGGGGGATATGTTGTTTGGCCTGGTATAAAATTCTTATATTAAAAAATCTATTGACAGCAAGAAGGCCATGCTTACACAGGAGAGGAGAACTAGGCGGAATTATCGAGATTGGAAGCCTCGCCAGAGCCACTCATCCTTTCGGGACTCCAAGTCCTACAAGCCAGGAAGGGAGTCCTCTCGCTCTCAGACATGGAGGGGGGGGATCTGGTGCTCCCAGAGGTGCTGGATCCACCAAATCAGGAGGTACCTTTATGAAGGTGTCTGTCCCGGGTACACGAGAGTGGGTGCACAGTTGCAACTGTTTTCGGGTCTCTGGGTGAGATCAGTATCAGATGCCTGGGTACTGAAGATTATCAAGGAAGGTTACAGGCTCGAATTCAGTTTCCTTCCCCCAAGAGGCAGGTTTATGAACACCAAATTGCCAAGAGAACCAGCGAAACGGCATGTAATGTTGGAGTATGTGGAAACCCTGTTGGCCCAAGGGGCCATTCTGTCAGTGCCGGAGAATCAACAGTTCCAGGGATTCTATTCCCACCTGTTCTTGACAGAAAAGGCGGTTGGAGGCCGGTCTTGGATCTCCATCAGCTCAACAGATTTATTACGTTGAGGAAATTCAAGATGGAGTCCCTTCGGACTATCATGAGGGTGGTCAGGTCACAGCCGAGGTTTTCATGAGTCTGTTGGGGTCCATGTCCTCGACGATAGGCCTGACTCGATAGGCCCAATGGCATATGAGTGTCATAGACTTACCCGGCGCTTCCCTGCATTCCAGCGACGTCTCACTCCGCCGATGACGTCACACAGGCTCCGCCCACGGGGCGCGGCCCCGCAGTGAAAGGCTCAGCTGTTTTCGTCACTCGGCGTTCTCTCGTTTTGGAGCGTCGAGTGACGAACAGGGAACCTCGGTATCTTACCCTCTCGCCCAGCGCAGTCCGCAGTCCGGAGACTCAGCGTTTGCAGCAGTTCCCTCTTCACCTCCTCTGAAGCACTAGCAGTCTAACAGATCGGAGGCTCTGACATACACCTCGTTTGGCTGATTCAACTAAGTGCAAGTACCCTGGGCACTGACCCTGAACCTAACGTTATACTGGAAAGGAACTGTGTATGGCATACCAGATCTAGCATACTGGTGGGGGCATATAGATAACTGCTTGCATTATGAATACTAAGCTTACAGGGATTGCTCATGCCTATCGCTACACCCTGAATTATAATTGGAGGAGAGGAGTCCTATATCAATATACCCTGCTGATTAACTGCCATACTGCTTGCTTTGCCTACATTAAGTGTACACGCATTACTTACGCCTACAGCTACAACCTGCACCTGAATCCTAAGTCTGCACACACTACTCCTTGCACCTGTTCAAACCTCCAGCTGCATTGCTAATTAGTCACCCCGTATATTGTGGAAGGTGTCTTCTAAAACCCCAGGGCCACATACAGATTCCCCTAGCGGTCCCCCCGGTGGCAAATGATGAGTACGGCCACCTAACCGCACTTGGTGTAATTGGGTACCGTTCACTGAACCTCCTCCTCAAAACTCATTTCAAATAAATTGATCTCCAAATTCCGCAACTGAGATCCAAAAGAGAACCCATATTCGGCGAACTTGACAATGAGAGTAGCTCAGAGTTCCTTTCTCCACCAATACAGATACCAGGACAAGAAGCAGCGGATCGGGATATCGCACGAATTCAGACGCTCACTAGTGTGGTGGTCCCGGGACGAGAATCTGCTCCAGGGTTTCCCATTGGGAGAGATTCCATGGGTTACCATCACCACGGACGCCAGCGGAATGGGCTGGGGAGCTCATCTGGGTGGCCTATATGCACAAGGGATGCCACTAGCATGGAGGAACAGATCTTCCAATCTGCTGGAACTGAAAGCGGTATTGCAAGCTCTCTGGTTTTTTCAGGACCAGCTCCAGTACAGATGGGTCAAGGTGTTGGTGGACAATGCCACTGTGGTGGCGTATGTCAATCATCAAGGGGGCACGAGGAGCCCCAACTTGATACAGATCCTGTCAGTTCTGATGTCGTGGACTGCACGGAATCTGGAAGGCAGAGCGGTATATCTGCCAGGAACACAGAATCTGGTGGCGGGCTACCTCAGCAGGCATCACGTGGACCCTACGGAGTGGACTCTCTCTCGGCGGATATTCCTCGAGCTGGTGCGGAAATGGGGCAGGCCACAGGTGGACCTGATGGCCTCATCTGCGAATTGTCAGGTCAACAGGTTTTTGTCGAGAGCTTTCGACCTGCGAGCGGAGGGCCAGGATGTCCTGTCACACCCATGGAACTGCACTCACGCTTATGTGTTTCCCCCGTTTTCTATGATCATGTCAGTGCTCCAGAGAGTGGAGAGGGAAAGGGTGGCGGTCATTGCAGTGATCCCTTACTGGCCACGGCGACTGTGGTTCCCTCTCCTCTTGTCCTTGAGTCTCCAGGATCCATGGATGTTCCCAGTGTGGGAGGATCTTCTTTGCCAAGGGCCGATTCGCCACCCAAATCCTCAGGACCTTCACCTGACGGCTTGGCTATTGAGAGGGAGAGGCTGAAGGAGTCTGGGTTCTCTCACGCAGTCGTTGACACACTTTTGAAGTCTAGGAAGATGTACACTTCTGCATCTTTAAAGCATAGGAATTAAATTGAACCATTAGGGATGGGCACCACACCCCCAATTAGAATTGTATACAAGAAAAGAAAAGCGGGGCTTTAAAAGTGTCCAAACCATACAAGACGTCCATCAAACATACATGGTTTTGTATAAACGTATATTTAATACATACATAAAGACTTGGTTACAATTAAATTAGAATTGTCTGGTTTTATATTTCTGTGACCACTATTAGGGATATTTTCATTTGTTTCCTGTCCTCACAATATCGGTACAAGGTAATGAAGCATTTAAGCATTTGACACAGCCATACAGGAAAGAGATGCAGTAACACAGTCATACAGGAGAGGGGTGCAGTGACACAGTCATACAGGAGAGGGGTGCTGTGACAGCCATGCAGGGGATAGGTGCAGAGACAAAGTCATACAGGAGAGGGCTGCAGTGACACGGTCATACAGGAGAACAGGAGAGGGGTGTAGATACACAGCCTTGCAGGAGAGGCATGCAGAGACACAGTCATACAGGAGAGGGGTGCAGTGACAGAGACATACAGGAGAGGGGTGCAGTGAGAGGCTTTAAAAAAAAAAAAATGTAATCAATGTCAAGTGCTTGTGTCTCTGCAGCCTCTTACTGCTCCCCTTTCCTTTATGGCTGTGTCTCTGCAGCCTCTCACTGCTCTCCTCTCCTGTATGGCTGTGTCTCTCCGGACTCTTAGCTGCATAGGAGAGGGGTGCAGCGTGTCTCTGCAGCCTCTCACTGTTCCCCTCTCCTGTATGGCTTTGTCTACCCTTCCATTCTGTGCATCTCTCTTTGCAGCCTCTCAATGTACCCCTCCGCCTGTGTGCCTCTAAAGCTTCTCACATTTTCCTGTCTTTTGGGTGACTTTGTTTCCTGATGGCCTCTTACTCCCTCCATTTTCCTTTGTAGCCATTTCTGCAGTCTCTTACTGTTCCCATGCCCTGTATGGCTGACTATTTAGCCTTTTTCCCCCAACACTTTTATATATGGCTCTGTATGATCTACTTCTCACCCTCCCATGGGTGGTTGTTTGCAAGCATAACACTGCCCACTGATATTTCAGTTTGGCAAGAGTTGCCCTTCAAAAAGGGAACTGGGGTACTATTTTCTAGCTACGATTTTCTCAATAATTCAGCTACAGAGATAAAAGCCATAAGAAAAAATAATCTATTTTTTTTCCTGAACTTAAGGTGCTAACCTAGCATGATGCAGAAGACATTTAACCCATTCCATAGGGCATAAAAGCAGATATCGTTGAGACCTGTGCAAAAGTACTGCAAAAAAAGGTCCATGTACACCAGGGATGGACAAACTCCGGCCCTCCAGCTGTAGTGAAACTACAAATCCCATGAAGCATCTCTCTCCAGGAGTCATGTCTGTGGCTGTGAGAACCTTGCAAAGCCTCATGGGATTCTCTGGCATCCAAAGTTGCAACTGCACATAAAAATCATTAAGTACCCATGCGCTGGGAGGAATATGGAAAAACCACTAACAGCTGAAACAATGCATGGAAACTGAAGAAAGTCTTCATATTTGTAACCCTTTGTCAGGACTGGGCCCAGAGCTCATGACCCTCTACGTGCACCACGTGCCTTAAAGGAATATCACTCAAGCTATTATATTTCTGCTGCTCAATATTTAATAGCCATTGGCTTTTTAGTTGTAGTGTTCTGAAAGTTCTCATATGCCTTTCCACTTATTTGGGCTCATTCAGACAGATGCGCACACCTATAAAACAACCCGATCCTGGAAGGGAGAGGTGCTTCCTGTGATTGCGCACAACAGCCTGTTCTTCCTTCTGGGAGGACACGGCTGCACAGTTCCCAGCGCACCCAAACCTGCACATATGTGCGGGTGCCAGCACTGCCACTGTCTGCTGTAACATGTAACGCAGCACCTGTCCCTTCCGGGATCAGGTCATTTTATGGGTATGCAAGTCGTCTGAATGATCCCTTCCTGAAATAAGTAATTTAAAGGAGAACTATGGGGTCAGGGCTTTTCCCCAAAGTTCTCCTAAGGGTCATCTCCTGTAACAGGATCACTAATAAGTGCTGTAAAACACTCACGTTTCCACCAAAATGAAATTTTTAGACCGAAACTGCAAAATTTGTCAGGCTGAAATTGAAAATTACTTTCTCAAACCCCGCCCCCCCCCCCATTTCAATTTTTTTTTCATTTTTTTTTGCTTATTAACAACCCAGTCATGAATGGACAGGAAGTCTCTGTACTGAGCTGCTTCCTGTTCATTCATAAAGTGAGCAGATACTAAATATTTAGTAAGTCCCCCATTCATAAATGAACAGGAAGTGATGTACAGAACTTGCCGTTTCTTCATAACTGGGGACATAGTAAGAAAAATGTCTGTAAGAGAATGATGCCTCATTCAGCCGGTTTGGGAGCTACCTGTGCAAATGGTTTCATTTTTATCCCCCCCTGCTTAGTGATCCTGTTTTTGGCAAGTGGTCACCAATACCAGGAACCCAAGTGTGACATTGGCCATACACTGTACATAAGGGGGAGCAAACCTTCCGCCCTCCAGCTGTGGTGGAACTACAAATGCCATGAGGCATTGCAAGATTCTCACAGACATGACTCCCGAAGAGAGATGCATCATGGGATTTGTAGTTTTACCACAGCTGGAGGTTTGCTACCCCTGCTGTACATTATTATTAGGGGCTCTGTCCTCCAGCTAATGTGGAATTACATATCCCTATCTACCACAGACCAGCTCAGAAAAAAAACAACAAAAAAAAAAAAACACATGGATTGTAAATACTGGGCCCGATTTATTTAAAAAAAAATTTTAAAACATTAAGTGTCAACGGCATCTACAAGTGTTTCCTTTTACTTTCATTTCAGAAATAAAAACATGTGATTGGTTACTATAAGGAAAAGACATTGATCTTTCAGTTGTTATAAACAAGCTCCCATATTAAGTCGCTTTTGTACTTAATTTTGCATGGTCTCAAAAAAGCAAAATACTTTTTTGTTTTTGCAGCACAGTAAATGACTGTGCATTGCAATGGAGAGAGAAAGAAGGGGCCACAAACATCATTGGTATACAAACACAGCAATATTAAATGCATACATAGGCATCGTTACAGGCAAAGAGGTTGCAAAAAATGTCCCTCGTTTAAATGTTACCATTAAAACACACGAGATACAGTATGTCTAATGTATCATCTACACAGATGAGTAAATAAAATAAAGACTCGACCAGGTTAATGCATCCCCACCCTTCTCCTGCCTATTCATACTTAGGACAAACCACACGGTATCAGTAGATAGAGAGTAGCTCGATGACCTCTCCCCCTGGCACCTGCACCTTAGCATAGCGTGCTGAATAAAGTCCCAAAGACAACAAATGGATATTTCATGTTTTCCTTTTTGGGTAACAAAGGGCACATTAAAGATGTATAAAAATCCTGGATTCAGGGATGGGGGCGATGAGAATTTAGGGTGTAGTAGGTTGGAATAAATAAAGTCAGACTCGGAGGATCTCTAAGCAGTTGTTGTAACAGATAGCGATCCAATCTGGCTGGGTGCTTGCCCACTGGACGTTGTTGATTTCACCCTCCGCTGTGTATGCTAGGATAGGATCTTCGATGGCCCGCGGCATTTGCTGGATGTCCCAGATCAGGGCTTGGTGATCGTCCGCTACAACAGTTTGAAGAGATATAGTGTTAAATGCTTATACATACTAAATCACACCAAGGGCTTGTTTATCTGTGGGTAATTTAACCCCTTAAGAACCCTTTCGCTGCCAAGGCCATTTTTTTGTTTTTCGCACACGCTATAATCCACATTTTAGGCCTGAAAATTATATATGTTTTGAAATCCAAGGCTCTGTAGAATTAAATGGCAGCAGTTGCAAATTATTTGGTTGCACAACATTAGCGCAACTCTTTATCAAACCCAAAAATGTACCTAAAATTCAGTGCCCCAAAACACTATATGAACCCTGATGAAGGGACCGCTTTGATTCTGAAACGTTGACTTTAAGCTATATTGGAGTGCGAGTGACTTACCATCTGTTTATTGTTACCTGTGGAGGCATCTGCTGTCACTGCCGCATCCGCCCTGTGTGTGGGGAATTTCTTTCCGGGCCGGGGGTGCGATGGGAATATTATAAAAAAAATTATATATACCCACTTTATCCTCTATCCCATCAGGCTGCTAGACCGGGCCCCACAGCCTTTTTCCCCTGGGCTCTGGCGGTCTAAGGACCGCTGACGTCATCATGTCTAATGCAGGTCCATTGACTTGCATTACACAAAAGGTCCCCAAGAATCATTCCATAGCTGGAACGGAGGGGAGAGAGAAGAGCTGACTGCCGCAGGACCGAGGATCAGGCAAGTAGGCCTTCTTCATTCCGGGCCCTAGAGAAAAACTGAGTACCTAACGTAACTTAGTTTTATAAAAACTTGGATTTCTTCTTTAAAACTTCTGTTAAAATATAGTTCTCAAGAGCCACGAAGTATAGGAATCCACTTTGCCTGCACCAAATGCCTTTAAAAAACTAAATATTTACTTGTAAATGTAGCAGCTGGCTATTCGTAAATGTCCTCCTGTGACCCAAAAGAGGACTACAGCCAAAAAAAAAGGTTTGGCCATAGTTCTCTTCAAAAGCCAGACTCTGGACTGATAATTTGCTGGTTCTCTGTGTTTTGTTTTTTTCGTTTCTTTTAAATGGCATCGGCATGTGCATAAAGAAGCGCCTTACGTTTCTAGCATTCTCCTGCCAACCTTTGGACCAGAGATGTCACTGAGTCTTTGTACCTCGCTAGCTTCTCTCAGACTCATGTACACATCATCTGCTCTGCGTAGAGAATGGCGACAAAGCCTATGGCATTAAGATTCCCTACAGATTTGTATACTGCAACTGAAAATGAAGCTGGCTTGTCGGAGTAACAAAACATACTCTGCAAAAATTGTTGGGATATATTTGGCAAAAAGCAACTCAGTGTATGAAAGAACCACTCTCAGGTGGGTGCATCCAAATAGGCTTTTTAGATTATATGCGTTCACTTCTAGTTATAAAATAAACTTATTTTCCAGTAACTGGTGAGGAGTCATTCAGCTCCGACAATATGATAAATCAATAGGATGGTCAAAGGAAGGATGAAAGCAAAAGCTATATATTTACCTGCTGTACAGATGTGACATGAGGAGTGTGGGGCCCAGGCAATGCCATTCACACAAGCACGGTGGTTATTCAGTCTGGCCACAGGTGTACAGGGCACTCGTACATCCAGAATCACTACCTGTACATAGAACAAATCGGAAAAACGCTTAAAAAAAGTGGCCTAACTGGAGTCAAAGAAACCCAACAGCTGATTACATTTAGCTATATAAATATATAGCTAGCAGGCCATTTATTTTTTACATTAAGGTAGAACTGAAGCCAAAACTTAGTTTTTTTTTAGTTTAGGAAAGAGTAACGGAGGGTAATAACCCATCAGCTAATTTTTTGCCATCTATGTCCCATTGGGCAGATTTCCCTTTATTTCCTGTCCGATAGCCACAACAAGAAGCAAGAGGAAATCCCTTCAAAAGAGGGGAAAAAGGATTTCCCATCTATTCCCGTTCTGACGACAACCCAAAATTTGGGATTATCTTTTACTTTTAGTGATACAGGGGAGAGGGCGAATTTCCCTAAAGGTGCACATAAAGTGAACAAATTTCCGCCGGTTTTTATTGTACCGGCCGTAATTCGCACAGTGTGTGGGGCTGTCGGCTCCCTTTAAGCCGGCATTCCTCGATCAGCTGATTGAAGGAGCCGGCTGGAAAATCATTGTGCGATCAGAGCCGGCAGCCAATGAAATGCCCGCTCTGATTGGATATTGCACCTGTCAGAATACAACGTAAACAGCGGCGATTCCTCGTTCTACAAGCTGTTTGTTAGTGGAAGAATCGCGTCAATTTCTTTTGTTGAAGGGAAAAAAATTGACCGGTGTATGGCCAGCCTAATGGGGAAACAAATTGTATTAAATACCTGGCAGGAGATCTAATCCCTCTTTACCCAAAACCTATACAAAATAAAAGTTTTGGCTTCAGTTGCACTATATCCTTACACATAATTTCCTGCCATTGTTCCTTTCCATATTATAAACTATAGATCAGGAGATTTTGAACAACACGGGCCCTGTTACCTCCATCCCATCCATGGCCATGGTTGCAAGATAGTTGGGGTCTTGCTTGTTCCAGCACAGTCTGAGCAGGGGGTGGTGTTGGGGGTCTTCGTAGATAATGGTGCTGTGCTCCAGGTGACGCAAATCAAACATTCTTACCGAACCATCGGCTCCCACAGAGGCAAACATATCTCGCCCCCCTCCAGCTCGGCTAAACGCAATGTCGTACACCTGTAATAGAAGAGACAAACTGGTAATTATCTGCATAACTGAATACAAAGGCAAGCTCATAAATGGCTGCAATAGGGAACTGAACAGAGCTTTCCTAATGGTTGTCAGTTCAGTCCATCGTAAGTGTTCTTTCATTGGGCTGTTAAAACATGATTGATGAATGAGTAATGACTGATTCAGAGGAAGTGATGTTTACAAAGAATAGAACTCATGGTTATGGTTCATTTGGGTGGCGGTCATATCTAATCTAGATATACAGCTGCATGAAGCTATAAAATAGTATGTTGATCTCTAGTACATTAGCCAATTACTATCTAGGGGGTCAGCAAAGAATGTTTTTCCTATTTATGATTATTTTTTGACTGCATAAATTGGCTTTATAAACGTTTAAAACCCAATTGAAGTCTCACAGCTTTAGAGCCCTTTAAAGTTCTGTACCCCACGTTATGATTTGTAACTGTTTTCTGCTAAGAAATATCTTAAAATACAATTTTTCTCAGTGAAAATGCTGCACTGTCTGGTGATCCATGCAGCTAGCTGAGTAATAGCCACAGCTCTCAGCAAAAGTGTCCTCCCATAAACTTGGTGACATAGTCTGGGAGAGGATGTCAGACCAGTTCTGTAACCAAATGCTGATTACTGAGTTTAACCCTATTACCTATTGGACTGCAAAGGCATATTTAGACAAGCTGACAGCTGCCCTAACAGTATAGTGAAGGCATGACTTTGAACATGGAGGTTATTGTCTAAGTGTATTTCCCCATAGTTCTCCTAAGGGTCACGGGGGGACATATGCCAACGTCCTCCCGTGACCCAAAGCTCAGTATATCACGAGCTACAGCTCGCGGTATACTGAGACCGCCGCAGCCGGGACGGATCCCGACATTACTCTCGAGATCCACACAGCTGTGTGAGTGACAGCTGGCTCTGCCTATCTAGAGGCAGTACCAGCTGTACGCCCCTCCCCCATCTGTTCAGCCAGTCAGCACTGCAGGATCGGAGATGGGAATCCCTGAGTGACAGTCACGGCTCTCTGCAGGGAGATGATCGAGAAGTGAGCGAGCGACGGTATGTGTTCGCTCACTTCCCGATCTATTGATCCGACGTATGACAGTTTCATTGTCACGCGTCGGCTCGAACTATGAGCTTGAGAAAAATCACCCACCTCATAGTTCTCCTTTAAACAACAAAAATTAATAAAAACGTAACCTTGCAAAGGGGCTACCCCCGAACTGCAAGGGTTAAGTGCTAGTTTTTGTCTATGGGGCTTGAGTAAAGCAGCTTTACTTACCTGATCACTGCATATGCCTGCTCCCTCCAGGCTGCAGGACTGATTCCCACAGCCTCATTTCCCCTTTACTCTAGTGGTCTAAGGACTGCTGACGTCATTATGTACAGTATAATGCAGGGTACATAGACCTGCATTGTACATGAGGATGCCCAGGGGCATTTCCACCAGCTGGAGCCCAGGAGGAGAAGAGGAGACTACAGAACACTAGGGGCATGGGGACTAGGTAAGTAAATCTGCTTTACTTACCTGGTCCCTTACTATTGTAGCCCCACTGCAATGGCAGTTTTTTTTAGTTTACCCGGAGATGAGCTTTAAGGGTGTAAAGCTCCAGGGCCATCTTCCTAATCTTATGTACCAAGTCACTGAACTAGAGCGAGCAAGCATGCATAAAAGCCATGCAAACAATTGCTGCATGCTAGTTCCAGGTCAGCAACTCTAGGTGGCACAGCCAAGGTCAGGATGGACATTTCAAGAAATGCAAATTTTAGAAAAGAAGGGGTAGCAGCTGCTCTAATATTTCTGCCCCCCCGACTCACTTTTTACCAATACCAGTCAAGCAACTTGTGTATTGTAATTTTGTATAACTGCTTATAATTATATTGCAGGAAGTTAGGAGTTTAAGTAAAACCCTTTACTCGCCAAGTTAAGGTATTCATCAAGCGTTCAGGATAACTTACCGTATTTTGCGGTCTATAAGACGCTCGACGATAGGACGCATGGCTTCTGTGACAGAAATTCTGTCACAGAAGCCGTTAGTGACTGCTGAGACAGGTGGCGCTGTCTCAGTAATCACACAGAGCAGACGAAGAACACCGTTCTTTGTCTGCTCAATGGGCTCTATGGTGAGCTCCTATGGGGGATCGTGACGGGTTACAGTCCCGCAGAGGAACGGGGGACCCAGAAAAACTCGGCGGGGGGCGGACACTATCGCCGATGCCGCTCGATTTAATACAAGGGATCTACTTAGATCGCTTGTATTAAACGAACAGCGGCTCCCACTGTACATTCAGCTCTGCTTGTCAGGAGCAGGGCTGAATGTACAAAAAGAAACTACTCGCCCGGCGCCCGAAACTGCATGTCCCGGGTGTCGGGCGATAGGTATTCGCTCCATAAGACGCAGGCACATTTCCCCCCTCCTTTTGGGGGAAAAAAAAGTGCTTCTTATGGAGCAAAAAATACGGTAGATCCCTTATTTTTATAGAAAAGCAGACTGAGGAAAGTTGAATAGATAAACCAGTACAGAACCACCATTTATTTCATATAGTCAAAGAGAAAAGTAAAATACATCAAAGGCTTTATCTACAACCTTGACAGATGAGACCACTCACACATACCATTGCACAGGGTGCAGAGCGGAGATGACTCACCTCTTTGTCGTGAGCAATTAATTGTGTTTTCACGTGACCAGACACCAAGTTGACCCGGCCCAGTACCTGGCCTGTCTCCAGACCCCAGATGGTGCATGTTGTGTCAATGCTGGAAGTTCCTGAAAGAAGCAATGTGAGAGGATTACTCTGTCTGACAAGCTACCAAGCAAGTTGCCCTCCAACATATTACAAAACTGTAAGCGATGGCAGTTAAGGAGGAAGCAAGAAAATGTGCGTTTCCAGGCCATTCATGGCAGAGTTTGCCGACCTACCTACTGAGACAGGAAGTAGTTCTAAAAGGCCCTGCCCTACCAGACTTTATCAGTGTCATCTTGTCCCAGGTTGTGGAGCAAATTCTGCATAAGACAGATACTTTAGTCCAAGGGTTTTCTATACGTTCCCTAGGGTAGGCCCTCCATCGATTGACCCTCTTTGTTATATTGATAAAATCACTTAGAGTGGATGCTACTCCTTGATGTTTAAAAGTTATAGTTTCCTGCTGAATCAGCTGGTCCCTATAACAGTGGCCCTGATATCCTGTTTTAGGACGGCTCCTCCCCCTTGTAGGGTCACTTGTGTGTCTCCCTACACACACACAGACGCAGCAAGGCAAACCACTCCCCTCTGCTCCAAGCTAGTAGATGTACAGTTGCAGTAGACTGCTCTGTCACTTGTGATCTTGTACTGGACAGGAAGTTCAGGGAAGTAGAGCTGAGAGAGTTGGAGTCAGCTGTTTGAAAATATGATGACTGTAGGGCTGCTTTGACATGGATTCCCTCCTGATCGGAGCGGTACGGATCAGATATCACTGATGTGACATCCATGTCTGTCTAGTTTTTCCCCCCCCC